AATCACTTTCAGGGCAAAAACTTAGCATTGGAACGCATTTTTTCTTTTAAAAAGTTCTTTTGCTTTTCTTAATTGCTCTTATCTCTAAACTTGCAGCATTCCTTCTATTATCCTCAAAAAACCGGTTCAAGGATATAGAATTCTGCTGGTAATTTAAGCTTTTCTTTTGGGTAGAAATTTGTCTAAATGTCAAATAAAATGTAATTGCAGATGGATTTGACGATTTTCATAGTCGCTTTCCGGAATTATGCGAGAGTTCTCCGGTTCCACAAGCGGACATGGAGGCGGCAGTAGAACCGCAAATTCGCACAAGTGTCTCCCATCCGTGCCTTTCGAGTCCCAGCGATGGGCCAACACAGATCCTCCCATTCCTTTATCTCGGTTCGCAGCAAGATGCCATGGATTCCAAAGTGCTTACAGTGAGTTTTTACAGGTTTTATATAAATTTCTGTTTTACCTTAATAAATTTTCAAATAAATAACTGCTTTAAAAAAAATTTTTGAATAAACAACTCTTCGAAAAATTGATCACAAACATGGAGTAACATGAAATACCTACACTGACTGTTTTAGCAGTCCAAAGAAAATGTGCGAAAACGCATCAAATATTTGTAATGGCAAATAAACGAAAATCCTACACGACAGTGCAAAATTAGTCAGTCGCTAATGCTAGGAATGAAATAATTAGATTGTCATATGTTTTTGGAATCATTGTTCACAATATCTTGGTAGACACTAAGAATTCTTCGCGATCAACTTACTTGTAAGCAACCCTCAAAAAAGAAGCCCAACGGCAACCTTGCCAGCGAGTGATTGCTGTTGGCATTCGGAGTACTTTCGAATATCCCCCTTCTCTCGCAGAAAGTAAATACGCAAGGATTTTGACTTTTGATGGAAAGTTCGTGAAATATTGGTACTCTAATTACTGTAGGTGAATTTTGCAGCGATATGGTATCAATTACGTTATCAATTTAAGTGTGAATTGTCCTCAGCCGGATGCTTTGAAACAGGAAGGGCATTTCATGCGAATACCTGTCAATGATACATATCAGGAAAAATTACTTCCTCACTTTGAAGATGCATTCAAATTCCTCGGTAAGCAATTTCTCTACTTCTAAAATTTCTCTAAGTCTGGAAAAGTGGAAAAATTATTCCTAACATTTCTACAAATTCAAAAAAACATTAAAAAGTGACAGATTTTATCTCTTTAATGTGCTTAGCATGTAAAATGAGCACAGTTGATTCATCTGCTTGCTTTTCTGCGTAACTTAGCACTGCAGACACGATTTTTGTCGCTCTTTCAGCTCTGTTAGTTCGATTTTACGTGTTCCGCCTCGATTTACCGCATTTTTTTATTCATCAGTGTGATTTTATGCCGCCTGTGTAGAGGATTAACTGGCTATATTGTTTTTGTGCTCATTTGGTGACTCAAGTAGCACATGATTTATTTAGCATGAATTTAATTGCATTCCGGGTGTGATTTTAAGGACTTAGTTTTTGTTCAGCCTAGGTACGCTTTTTTCCCGCAATCTATCGACTTTACTATGTGGTATCTTGTTAAACGGCGATGAAAGTACTTGCACATAGGGGAAAAAAGGATGTGCTGAGATTTGGAAATTATCTGCTTATGTTTTCGTCCGGAAATGTTGAGATTTCGGAAATATGATTGCCGGCCTAGACAGAGTTAAAGAACAAGGAATCAGCTTCATACCGCTTTTTTATCTTGACCCTCAGACCAAAAATTAAGCTGGCAACTACGTACTGCCTTGCCAATAGGTGGTTGCTTTTGGCACTTGCTACTTTCGCAATTGTTCCGAGTGCTTTCGCCTCTCATAAAAAGGGATTTTAACGGAGGGGATTTTAACCCTTATCATCCTTCACTGAATCAGGATTCGTTTGTGACGAAATACAGCCACCCGCCTTGTGTATAACAGTACATTCAGGAAAATAGTTTACAAAATGCAGATCGCGGTGCACGCCGCTATTTATTATAATCCAATAACATATAGTATTATTTGCTTTATGAGTCATGATATTGAAATTTTGTATTATGAATGGTACTTATAACAATGGAGACGATCACTTGCGCTAATTTTATGGAGAAGTAGAGTATTTATAAAATGCAAAAAGAGCGGGAGCACTTTTTTCACCTTTAAATACACATTTCTGCATTTTCTGTTTTTTTTATGTCAAAGGCACCAAGACCACCCGACATTCGATATGGGGATTCCATGTTAATGATGTTACTGGAATGTTCCCATATGCCGAGTGCAGTTAATGATTATTTTATTATTTTTTATTTTTATTTTCTTCAATTTCTTTTCCTGCTACGCCTTAACGCTGCACTATCGCTCAGTTCCTGAAGGTGTAATTTCGAGAAAAATGAATGAAAAAAGCATAAAATTAAGCGGCTAAACAGGAATATTCTGGTCCATGAAGGAAATAAAGTTTTATGTACATTTTATTATATAATGCGCGAGGGACGATGGCCTGGGCCGGATGTTTCTTTATGGGGTATGGTGTGTAGTGATCACTTATCAAGACCAGCAATGCTTTATCAAAAGGAAACAAACAAAAAAACCGATGGGAGGGGGTTTAAGACAGAATTGGCAGTACTTGCAAGCTCCCACGAGTAATTACTTAGACATAAAAAAAAA